AGGCCAGGAGCCCCTAATAGCGTCCTTGCTCCTAGTAGTGAGCTTCTTGCTCCTAGTAGCGATGCCAGGAGCCCCTAGTAGCGTCCTTGCTCCTAGTAGTAAGGCCAGGAGTCCCTAGTAGCGTCCTTACTGTCCTGCTGATTTGGTTGAGAGTTGATAGCAGTAGCAGCTTCCACAAGCAGATTTGACCTCCTCAGGATCTGCAGTCTACCTCTCAATGGCACTATGACAACTGCGTCGCTCTTGTTGTCAGGCGAACATGCCCAAATCTTTGTAGCCGGAACTGCCCACATGCTTCGAATGAATCCAGTGGGATGCAGATGACTTAAACTTCTGTATACGGCTGGTGTCATGTCGTGTAGTTGGAGCATGCTGGCATGCTGAAGGTGGGTTTTTCAGTGCCCTTCAATTTCTGAGCTCGTACCCTTCAAGTGCCACGACCCCGGGGGTGGCTTGGTGATTCTGGTGATGCTGGTGCTATTTCTTCGGAGCGCACAGTGTCTCAGCGGCCACACACCTCTGGACCTCTGGAATTTGACTCGCCATTGCCCTTGACTTGCCAAGTGTTTTGGAACCACTCTGTGCCATCAATTCTCGAGGATCGTGATACTTAGACTTACTGTATGTCTATAAGGTCTTTGATTTATGTTCATGTTTTGCCAACTATCCATCCAGCGCCAAGTTTCTCAACTAAAAGCGAGCTTGAATTGGCTTGAATGGACAGGCCTCCTCTTCAGCATCCAGCCCTTCCTGATGCAGGCGCTGGCCAAGAAGCATTCTTACGCCGGTAGGTCAAGGGGACCTGACGTGGTACAGCGACGAGCGTCAGAAATTGGAGCTCAAATGTGCTCAATGCAAGGCGTTTTCAACCATCGTCAGGATGGCAAGGCTGCCAGAGTGTTCTGGCCATTCACAACGGACAGCTACTCTGTGTAAGGCTCAGAAGTGCTTTTCGTTTCTGGTGAGAAGCGCCAACTCCCAGCCAAGCTGCTTGCTTTAGAGAATTCGACATCGTGGAATCAGCCCAACTGAGGTGCTATGCCTTTGCATGAGGAGCTGTACGTTCTGGTCAGGATTGGCGCCCCTTGTCACCAGCTGTGCATTTCCAAACACCATATTCGCAAGCAAAGACATGTGCACCATGCCACCAACGGAGTGACAAGTTTTTGTGCTGTGCGACTTGATAGAATGAAGATCCTTGAAGTATCGTCAGGGGCAAATCATGTAGGTATGTGACCTGTAGGTATCTGCAAACCAAAAGAGCCATCATCGGTTAGGTTGAGAATAGGGCGAAACTGCTGTTTTTATGGCTTGGAGAGTGTTTGTGATCGTGCTGAGGTTCAGCAAGTGGTCAAGGCGCATGTTTTGTACTTCTGAGAGTTTGAGAACTTCTTCCTGTCCTTTCCTGTTTAAGCGACAGAAAGCCTCCGCTCGGTCTACAGCCCAATGGAGTCATGCAAGCTGCCAGACATGGGTTTTGAACTATTTTTCCCTTCTTCCAGGTTTTTTTTGGGGGTCTCCCTAAGTTTAATACACACCCAAATGCAGATTGTTTACAAGCCAGGCTTGCAAGCAGCAAGCATATCACTGTTGCTCATAGGCCCTTGTTGGCCCCGCTTTCTTGACATTGATTCGAGAATGGTCGAGGTGACTTCCAAGAAAAATATGCCGCAGACGGCCCATTTCCATATTGTCGACAAGGAAGCCCAACAGGACGGTTGCAACATGAATCCAGGAGGATCTTGGAATGTATGCATCCTTGTGCTATATATTTACCTTTAATCTCATGCATATTTGCGTCGACCGAGACCAATGGTTTGTCCACTTTGCGTGCCATAAAGACATGAAACAGACGACCAAAAGAGAGGGGGAAGACGTGACATGGGATACCATCCTACAGAGCCCCAGGTTCTTGGGCTTTCTTGCTTGTGCATCCGGATCATGCCTGTGGCACGTGGGGATTTGAGTCATGCCATGCTTGACTTTTTAGATGTTTGCTAACACAATCCAAGATCGTGTAAAAAGCCTCACTTCCTGTTTACTAAGCTTATGCAGAAGGCTTTGAGCCAGGACTCCTCGAAAGCTCTTGAGCCATGGATGGCCGGGCAGCCCACCATACTTGTAGGCAGTGAAGCACCAAACGAATGCTGCAAATAAAGTATCCTGGCGTTCACAAGATGAAGTAGCTTCATTTTGGAAAGTGTGCATCCTTCACAGAACAGTGTACTTACTAGACTACTAGACCTGACTTAGCAAACCTATAGAACAATATTTCAAATTTCAATCGCCATGGTATTGAACGGGGCCTTCAAACAGGGTATGAAGATACGAGGTTCTCTACTTTGCAGATGGTGCCCAGAAGGCGCTCTGTCTTTCTTCCAGGGGCCGCAATTCATGGTTGCCAACCAATGGTTGATTTCCATCCGAACCTGTCTGGCGACCCAAACTTTTGGCATGTCAGAAGGGTGGTTTGGTTTCTCTATTTTTTCTTTTTGCTTGTGCTTTCTTTAGTCTCTGTAGTACCACGTTTTATGGTCATGGGAGTCATGGCCAGGTCAAAAGCTTTGTGGCAGCATTGCAATCCGCGCGGCGAGCGCAAGGACAATTCCATTTCTCGAGCGCTGGTCCAACGAGAGGTTTCTGTTCACTCAGGTTCTGTTGGTGGGTGAGACTCCTCAGAGTTCGTTCTTGTTGTGTTTAACAAACACAAGTCACCTGGAGGACAGCGAATCGGTTTCTCGAAGTCTGGCCCGCGGGCAGCCCAAGAGGCAACAGCGGTTGTTGGAGAAGGTACATCATCATACCTACAGGAAAGAGAGAATTTATAATGTTCCTTTCACTAAACCGACTCGTGTAGGTCACGTTTTTGCCATGTTGCAAAGAGAACTGAAGGGAACACCCTTTTCTACAGTGTTACAGCGCTTGGAGCTAAGGCCTTTAGCGCCGCCATTTGCAGCGCAAGAGGCGGTGGCCGCAAACTTGGCCAATTTGGCGGAGGGAGGCAGGGGTCCTTCTTCGGATTCTTCAAATCTTTATGAATGAGTAAAAGGCACTATTTTCATCCGGCTGTTCATGAAAAGACTCTAGATAGATACAAAGCACTTTCAATCCCCATGCCTTCCTTGGAGACATCCTGCCAGGCTCCTCCACGCAGGACGGGCGGCCGCTGTCACAGGAAGCTGAAATGTGGGAGTATACAGTGTACATGACACAAGTACACTACCAGATCAAGCATATCATTTGAACTAAAGTATGTGTGGAGCTGCTGCACCAAGGGGAAGGTGAACCGAATCAAAAGTGCCCCCTGTTGTTGAGAATGATGGGTTCGAAAGAAATTCCAACAGCAAGCTACACTGCATCTGCAGTCCGCAACACAGCTTTCTATCGCGTTGACTGCAGCCAGGAGCAGCCAGGGCAGGAAGATGCAGAACTTCCTGAGAGCCCGCAAGCTCGTCAGACTGAGGACTGGCAAGTGTGTCAACCGAGCAGGTCTTGCTTGCTAGGTGAAGGGGTTGGCGAAGCAGTGTTCTG